CTTTGCTGAATCCTGCCCCCTTGGGGCAATGTAGTGTCCACTACACCCTCTGATTTATGCCTGTTATGTTCCCAGTATTGTTACCATCATTAAAAGGTATATGGTTAAATCCCCATTGGTGGTCTGGCTCTGCTGTATAGGGGAAGGAGAGTCCCTACACCTCCCACAGCGCTGATGCACCTGCTTTGATCCCTTCAACTGGAGAGGGGGTACCTCTTGGAGTACTGCCTGGGCTACACAACCAAACCACAGTAAATAAAGCAAGCAAGCAGACAAGCCAAAACCTGCCATCCTTCTTCAGACACTGAGAGACCTTCGTAGCTCTGTATTTCTCCCTAACACTCCCTTCTGGCATTCTTAAGCTTCCTAGGGCATTTTTGCACATGTATGCATCACAGCACTGGGCGCTTTGAAAAGTGCCTGGCGCTACAGTTGTATAAGTGACAAAATGCATGTCAGCGCTGAGAAAATGGCAGCAGTGTGGTTTTGAACTAAAACACCTTAGAGGTGTTTTAGTTCAAAAGTGCACTGCCACCATTTTCTGCACATTGACATGCATTTCACTGCTTATACAACTGCACACAGCACAGTGCAGTTCGCCTCAGCTTGTGTGCAGAGCAAATTAATCAAGTCTGCTGTGAAACGGCAGATCTCTGGCACATTGCTGGAAAAAACCATGTGCCAGTATAAATGCCCCTAATGACTGCGCCCTCACTGGCAGGTTATCCGTTCCAGTTGGTCCTTAGCCTCCAGCCAGAAAAACTATTATCCACTGCAGCTAGGGTCCAGTCTCTTGAGGGCCTAGTGCCTCTTCATACGCTCCAATACATAGAGTGCATGTTGAGAAAAGAGGTTCAGATCCACAGTACTTATAAACTGTTGTCAGACGTAAACAACTTTCTAGTAGAGGTGCACTGATATTTGGGTTGCGTATCAGATCGGCACTGATAAAAGGAAAATGTACATTATCGGCTATCGGTTTTTTGGCTGTTGTAGCCAACAATGTTTTTTGATAAATATAATTAATTATGCCTTCTGGCTGGGGCCCCTGGACACTTGGGTTCCCTCTTGCCCACAGGGCCGGGGCCCTGGATCCGTGGGTTCCCTTTGGTAATGGTAGGTTTCCTCTTGAAGACAGGCAGCAAGGAGTCCTGCTTGGGTCTGCCAGGAGCAAAGTGCAGGGAACACCACGTGCATGTGCACAGCTACATGCATGCACATGGCCAGAAATATAGCTGGGCAGCGTGAAGAGCAGCTCCCTGCAGGTATGTCCATGGAGGCAAAGGGACATGAGGGAGGGAAGGGGCATAGTGGGGCAGACTGAGCTCCCCATGGTAAGGGAGCAAGTGGGGGAGGGGCAGAGACTGGGGCTGGGGACGCTGCCCAGCCAGGGGGTGCACGGGACCAGGGGCTGGGGCAGGGAACAAGACAGAGTCATGGGAAGCTCATCGAGGGGGTGTGGGGTGGGCATCTTCCTGCCACTGTATGCACCCCCCAGCAGAGGTATGGGAGGGGGCATGTGCACTCCCAGATTTATGCACAAGGCAGATACAGGCTGTTTACTGTTGGCACAGGGCTCTCCACTCTGCTGCCCTTTCCTCGGGAGCCCTGTGCCAGCCGTGCACCTCCTGCCCACCCAGCAGCAGTGGAAGTGGTGAGTTGTGCCTTGTGCTGCCAGGCGGGCAGGGGACACGCAGGCTCCTGGGGCAAAGGGAGCAGGATGGAGAGACCTGAGCCTGCAGTGGGCAACCCGCATCTGACCTCATCCTGCTTGGCTCTTCCCCGCCTAAAAGTATTCCCACACTTAAAGATGGTGGCAGCGGCACTTGAATTAAAGCTCATTCAACAAACTTCAGTTCAAGCGCCCCTGCCCCCACTTTTAAGCGCTGGGACATTGATACATGTAACATGGAGGCTGCTGAAGCGTGCCAGAAAAGCTGGATTATTTATGTCAGTACATTTTAAAATACTGACATAAATAACCTTTTCTTTTTTGGCACACTGCAGCAGCCTCTGCATCACATGTAACCAAATCAGTTATTGGATTGGTATCAACCGATACGTCCGATTAATAACCGGCTATTGGTATTGGCCAAGAAAATCTTTATTGGTGCACCCCTACTTTCTAGGCTACTGTAATACTTGTTTAACAGTCGTTGGAATGGCATTATGAACATAAAGCATTCCATATACCTATTTATAAAAAAAAATTGCCAATAGTTTTTGGGAACGGTGAGATTTCTGGCTAAGATTTTCAAAGTGACCCCAGAAAAAAATGGAATTCAACAGAACTTAGGCATCTAATTACCTAATGTAATGCTGAAAATCCCTACACATTTTTAATAAGGGACATTTCCCTCCTCTGGCTTTATTTTATAATGACATTAATTCTTAAAAGCTATAGGCCAAATATGCTCTTTAAAATAAGTGTATACCACTCAACTGAAGTTAAAAGCACTGTACATAAGGAGCTGACAGCAGAATTTGCTTAGTTTTTCATTCATATTTTACCAAAATGAGGGACTCAGAGGTTATAAATAGCAATAGTATGAGAGAAGAAGAAAATATTTAACTACTTATTAGGGATCTGCTGACACTTTGGGACAGGAATGTTTATTCATTAAATTTCTTCTCTAAAATACAAATGAAGTAAATCACTGTGGCCAGATTCTGAAGTCCTTAATGGAACTCTGAATTCTGAAGTTCTCAACAAGAGTTTCACTCCATTAAAAGACCCTGAAATCTGGCCTTGGTGTGGGTCCAGAGGAAGTTGCACCCCCTTTTGGCTGCGCTTCATGTGAGATCTGGCTGGGGGGTCTGTTTGATGCCCCTGGAAAGGTTGGGGTGAATTTTGCCCCTGCTACTTCTCTGCTCCTTTCCCTTGCTATTTAATTCAGTGGGGTGAGGGAGCGTGAAAAACAGCAATGCTCATCCCCTGGACTCGGAAGCCATGAAAAAGTAGGAGCTCCAGCCAGATCTCACCCTGATCAATTGGTAAGCCCCGGGATCGCTGTGCATTGCATGACACGGCTAAAGCATATGTGGGGGGGTGCACCCCCTCCCTTGCCCCATTCCTGGATCTGCCAATGTCTGGCCAGAGTAATAAAGCCTCAGGCAGCTGTTTCAAACAGAGCCAAGGTATGAAAAATTGGGTGCAAAGCCAAGAAAAATATTTGAGAAACTGAATTATTTCAAACAGTGGTTATGGTCCAAAAAGCGATTCTATATAACTGGCATCAGATTGCTCAACAAGTTTGATATACATGTATTTTTATTCCCATGCTCTACGGGCAATAATTTTTACCAGATTCAATTTACTACCAGTACTCCTGTTAGTACTACATACTCAACCCATCTAAGGGAGGCTGCACTCAATTCTGTTCTTTTACATGGCAGTTAAAAGTGGCAAGGGTTTTCTAAAGAGCTGAGGAGTGTTAGGTACCCACTGAAAGTTGGGCACTTTTAACGTCCCCTGATCCCTTTCCAAACTCACTGTAGAACTCTTAAGTATTTAAAGTTCCAGCTGCAGAATCTTTGGTGCCAGTGATAATGCATAAACCAGAAAAAACGCAGCCTGATTTTCAGATCTTATAATGACTTTTCCAGGGTTGACAGATAGCTGATTTTAAAAAATGTTTTCCATATAAACAAAGGACAACAAAGACACATATGATACCATTTCTTTTCTGAGCATGATCACTTATTAAATGATTGGATAGTTAAGAACATAAAGTTATATCTAGCTGTGATAGTTACAATCACAGCAGTGGTTTGGATTGCAGATTGGCTGAGGGGTCGCACTCAGAGGGTGGTGGTGGATGGGTCATATTCGACCTGGGGGGAGGTGGGTAGCGGAGTCCCCCAGGGCTCGGTCCTGGGGCCTGCGCTGTTCAATTTCTTCATCAGCGATCTGGATGATGGGGTGGAAAGTAACCTGTTTAAATTCGCTGATGACACCAAAATCTGGGGGGAGGTGAGCACGCTAGCAGGGAGCGAGAGATTGCAGAGGGATCTGGATAGGTTACAGGGGTGGGCTAACAGGAACAGGATGCGTTTTAACACGGACAAGTGCAGGGTGCTGCACTTGGGCAGTAGGAACCAGCAGCACACTTATACAATGGGGAACTCCTTACTCGAGAGCACGGAGGCAGAAAGGGATCTTGGAGTCATTATTGACTCCAAGATGAACATGGGCCGACAATGCGAGGTCATGGTTGGCAAGGCTAACCGGACCTTGTCGTGCATCCACAGGTGCATCTCGAGTAGAGCCAAAGAGGTGATCCTCCCCCTCTATGCGACACTGGTCAGGCCACAGCTGGAGTATTGTGTCCAGTTCTGTGCGCCCCAGTTCAAGAGGGATGTGGACAATATGGAGAGGGTCCAGAGGAGGGCCACCCGCATGATCCAGGGACAACAGGGCAGACTCTACAGTGAGAGACTGCGGGACCTGAACCTATTCAGCCTCCACAAGAGAAGGCTAAGGGGGGACCTGGTGACTGTCTATAGACTCACTAGGGGGGACCAGAGGGGTTTGGGGGAGACGCTGTTTCCCCTAGCGCCCGCTGGCATAACAAGGAGTAATGGGCACAAGCTGATGGAGAGGAGGTATAGATTGGACATCCACAAAAACTACTTCACGGTTAGGGCGGCTAGGAGCTGGAACCAACTTCCAAGGGAAGTGGTGCTGGCCCCTACCCTGGGGGTCTTTAAGAAGAAGCTGGATGCCTACCTGGCTGGACTCATTTGAGTCCCATTTCTCTTTTTGGGGTTTTTTTGTTGTTCTCCCGCCCTGGCGGGGGGTTGGGCTAGAAGATCTACTAGGTCCCTTCCGACCCTTAATCTATGAATCTATGAATCTATGGTTCTACAGTCAGGGAATAGTGCTACTCAGAATACTATTATTACAGTTTTTCCTGTGAGGACATTAGCTTACCTGTGACTTTTCTGGATCTGAAATAAGGCCAGAATATCTAAAGGTAAAAAGAAATTAAGTTTCTTACCTTTTCAAAGACAACTTCTTAGCAATATCTTTGCTCCAGTAGGTCATTCTGTGGGGAACTCCTCAAAGAGATGCACCTTCTTTCAAGGACCTCATCAACCTCAGATTCAGTGGCTCCCTGCAAAAAGCTATCCAGTTAACTTCATTATTTAGCCTCATATCTCTGTTAAAGCAACAAGTCAGAAGCAAACCTATCAGCTGTTTCCAGAAGACTTAAATCAGGGGGGTCAAAATCACTTAGCCCCACAGACTGGATAAATGGGATGGTATTGGTCCAAAGGCAAGACAAATGGCACAGGGCTGGCCCCACAGACCAGATCAGGCCCATGGACCTTCCACCTGCATGCCGTATCCAGCACCCATGGGACTCCATCTAGCCAGTCCAGTACTGTTCTGCATGCAGTGTCTACTTCAGCCAATCTGGTACCTGTGGTAGCATCCACCCTGGAGTGGCTGAAGCAGGCACCATATGCAGCATAGTCCTGGAGCCAGAGTGGGCACCAGCCAGAGTGGGCACCACCTGCAGTGCAGTCCCAGACCAGCTGGAGCAGGCACTGGATCCAGGATGCAGGGTCTGAGAGTGGCCAAACATAGGTGCTGCATGCACAGCAGGTCCCAGAGCAGACACTGCATGTACCACATACCCTGGACAAGCCAAGACAGGCTTCAAACGCAGCTCACATCCCAGGCCCTGTGTGTGCAGCTGGTCTGGCACACACAGTGTAAAACATTTAGGTCAACTCAAGACCCAGGGGCAGCACCAGGGGATGGTTGATGGGGCTCTGCAGGCTAGATCCAGCCTGTGGGATGGATCCTGGACACTCCTGACTTAACACTTGAGTGATTTTTTTTAAGGACTTTGAGTGATTTTTTGTTAAGCTTTAACATTGTGTCCTCCATCCTTGATAGCTTTGTTGGGTGATTGGAAAGCGTCATTGTTAAGCTTCATTTTAGAGACACAGAAGTAAGTAAGACCACCTACTGCGTGTTCAGTGGAACTGTCTGCACATCTAAAGGTTGGAGACCTATTCAGAAATGTATAAGCTTTTGTGGGTGACAGCCCACTTTTGCCTTTCTAAACTAGTCTTTAAAGTGCCACCCTGTCCTACCTTCTGTCTGACTTCAGACTAACATAGCTAGCTACCTTTCTCTGCACCTAAGAGTTGTAACAAAAAGAGTCTCTGACTAATACAAGTCATAAGATAAAAATAAGAAAAGAAGTACAGACCAAATGACTATAACATTTTTATGACCAGAAAAGTGCTGTAGGTTCGTGAATAATTGGTATTTAGAGTTTCATGGAAACACTATGGAAGAGAGGTCCAAGAAAGAAGATCTACATTTGTTTCCAGATCCATCACTGATTTGCTTTGTGGCCAACCCTGGTCTTAAATCCATCCCAAGTGTAACTCCAGTAATGGGGCTGGAGCTGCAGTAGGCATTAATCTGGCTCAATGAGGACTTGCTCACTGAAAAGTGTAACTGTTATCAAGAAATCTCTCTTGCTTTGAGTTCATGAGAAGTAAAGCTGAAGTCAAATACACTGGCAGGCAGTCACGTGACAGATGACAACAACAATTTCTTGAATTTTAAGATGTAGAGTTCTTAAATATCCCAGTGAAATGAAGAACCTAATCCTGCAACCCTTGCCTGTTGACTTCCATCATCCGGTCATGAAGTTATCACCATCATTAACCAATTTTCCAGAGGGGAAAAGTGACAGTAAGAGATGTAATTTTATATGTTGTGCAACTTCAGTGAAACTATTCATATCAATAAAGGTTGCAGAGTTTCACTTAAGGAGGAGGCAAAACAATTCAGATTGCTATCCCTTCCCTTTAAGTATCATGAAAGTGTTATTAAAAATTAAAAATAAGTTGAAGAGTTTGGAAATGCCCTGAGTATCTCTGATTATATTTGGATATGTGTACAAGGCAATCCTAGTAAAATTGTCTTGTGAATTGCTGATCACGCCTTTAGATTCACGTAAAGCTGCCAGGGGCACTAGGCAAAATACAGAAACACTACATTATCAAAGAGATGTCTGTACGTAACAGGCTTGTGTGGTGGCTCACCTCCAGGATAGTCCTGATGGCTATCCATATCAACTACCTGTGGAAGGCTTCCTGCTTCTGTCACTATACTTCCTCACTTCAGAAGCCATTCCCTTTTAATTCTCTTCTCCATTCATGAGAGTGTGCAGGTCCCAAAATTATATTACCTGTTCTTAATCCCAAATTGCTCTTAGGTTCTCAGTCCCTTCTCTGTTATAATAACCACATATACCACTGCTACATTCCTCCTGTGCTCCTCCAACTTTATTTCTCCTACAGCGCAGAAGTGGGGGGCTGATAGCAATGAAGCAACTCCTAGTCCATACCCATACACATACATTTTTGCAGGGGAAAACTTTGGCCCTGAAAACTAAATTAGAATCTTTAAGGATGGCCAGGGCCAGGGGTGCAGGAGTCAAATGAGTGGGCACAGCACCCAATAACCTAGCTAGGGCAAATAACTGGTGACATTATCATATCAGCATCCACAGCTATTGACCTGTATTATTAATACTCACAAATGAAAGCCTCTGCCTGGCCTGGTTTGAGGTGAGAAGGCTCCGTACTCTCTCATGGATCCTTTCCCAACTGAAATGAGAATTGGAATGCAAGCTGAAAAAAATATATCAAACCTGCCACCTCCATATTCACCTCAGTTATGATGTTTTATGTTCTCACAATGCCTTTTTATAGTCTCACTCAGAAAACAGAGATGATCACAAAAGCCAGCAGATGAGTGAAAAATTAGTGACCTGGTCAAAGGGGTGAAATCTGAGGAGAAAATGGGATTTTGCAATAGGGTCACAGGAGAAATGAGGAGAAAAATGGGGAAAACTTTTAAAGAAGTCAGACATCTACACATCAAAGGCAGGAACATGAGGGAATAACAGGAAGAGCTTGAAGTCTTAGCGCACAACCAAAATTAGACGTTAATCAGCATCACAGAGACTTGGTGTGATAAATCACAGATCAAAAATATTGGTATAAAAGGGTACAGTTTTTTTGAGATTCAGGCAGTGGGGGCGAGGGACTTGCACCCTCCCAAGAATGTATATACTTGCTCCCAACTTCAGGAAGAACTGAGAGGCAGATTTGGTGAATGTCTTTGAGTGAAGAGAAAAGGGAAAAATACAGAGGCAATGTCCTATATACACTGCTTAATGACAAAGATGAGGTTTTATCTGCACAAATAACAGAGATATCTGAAGAGCGGGACCTGGCCTTAGTGGAGACTTTACTCAGCTATATGTTGGAAAAGCAGCGTAGCAGGACATAGAGAATCCAGCAAGCTCCTTTATTTTAGAAGGTGGAGGAAGTTACTATAAAAATGGCCTTTAGATTTTAATAGGAAGGAATTGGTGGAAGATAGTTTAGATAAAAAGTGATGCTCAAAATGATGGAGTTCATGTTATAAAGAAAGAAGCTGCAGTGACCAAAAAAAAGGCAATGGGAACTGTTACACAGGATCTCCTGGGAGCATAGACTAAGAATAAATGAGTGAGGGGGAAAGCTGGCATTTCTGAAATAAAACAATGTTAAAGTTACAAGTTAGAGACCAACAGGACTACATCAGGAGCTCTTTGAGGACCTGAACATCAAAAAAGAATCAGAGTAACTGTGGTAAAAAGTACGCATGACTAAAGATGACTATAAAGGGATAAAAGAAGCAGGCGGGAACAAATGCCAAAAGGCCAAGGCACAAAATGAGGTTGTATCCATTACTGCACAACGTAATGCTGTGGACACCCAAGGTAGCTCTAAACAAATCAGCTAATGTACCAGGAATCTAGCTACATTAATGCAGTATTCTGAGCAGGGAGGGGAAATTAGCCCCCACTGAGCTCCAGGTTTATAATACATGGTTTCTGCTACCTCAGGTAGTTAATTTAGATATCTTTACACTGCCCTACACTATGCACACACAAAGTTACAAATAGCAAAAGACAAAAAATGGTTCTGTGTAAGGGAAAGATAAAGGAAAGTATAGGTTCATTACTTAACATGGAAGGAGAGCAGATAATGACTGATACAAACAAGGCTGGAGTATTCAATGTCTTCTTTTCTTCAGTCTTAGCAAAAGAAAGTTAACTGTGACCAAATGTTTCATTAAATTAGTTTTAACACAGTTGTAGCATCACAGGTGAAAACAGGTTAAAGTGTATGTAGATAAATTAGATACTTTCAAGTTTCAGTAGCTGATTTGATTCGGAGGAGATTCAGCCCGATTCAGGGACCAAATCTCTGAATCCAAATCAAATTGGGAGACCAAGTAAAAGCTCCAAATCAATTTAAAGCAACCAAATCGATTCAGAAAAGCTTTGAAAAAGATTTGGCCAATTTGGAGATTCGGCTATAGACTAAACAGGCAGCTGATAGCTGCCTCTAGCTGGTAAATCTGTTGGGGTTGGAGGAGGGGGCAGGAAGGGGCATGAGGGAGGGAGAGATTGTGGCTGGAGCTAGGACAAGCTGCCCAGCCAGGCCAGAGGGGCGGATTACTCAAGGAGAGGCTTGGGGGGGCGTGGGATGTGGGTGCAGCAGCCCTGGGGGCGGGGGCTCTGCCCTGCTACCGCTTGCCCAGCCAGGGCTGGGGTGGGGGGGCAGGATGTGTGCGTAGCTCGCTCCAGGCAGAAGGGGGCAGGTGGCAGCAGGGCAGAGCCCCTGCTGCCAGCACTGATGCAGGTGCGGCAGCGCTGGGAGTGGGGGCTATGCTCTGCTGCCAGCTGGAGCGAGCTGCGCCTGTGTTGCGCCCAGCCCCCTCACCCCCCACACCGGCTTGGCAAACTGCAGCAGGGCATAGCCCCTGCAGCTCCCCCCACCGGGGCAGAGGCAGGCACAGCTGGAGGAGCTGCAGGAGAAGCCCCCATGGCTGCCCTGCCTGGCCCCAGCCGGCTTGCACTTTAAAAAAAAAAATAATAAACCCCATACCCACCGGCTCTGGAAGTGGTGACTGGGGCCTCTGGGAGCCCAGATAAGAGTGGCATCATCAGTCATTTTCCCCATTCTTTGAAAAAATATTTTGAAATCTTGCTGTTTTGCCCAGGGCAATGGGTGAATTGAACACAACAATGACAGTCTTAATAACAGATTACTATATGTTAACATATGAATCAGACTGAAATAAAGCTTGGTATAAAGGAAGATTTCAAAAGATTGTTCAGTTTTACTTGAGAAGATTGTTCAGTTTTATAAGTGAAAGTCAAGAGGGACGTGGAGAACCTGGAGAGGGTCCAGAGGAGGCCACTCGTATGGTTGGGGGCCTCCGTGCCAGCCCTATGAGAAGAGGCTGAGGGACCTGAATCTCTTCAGTCTCCGCAAGAGGAGACTGAGGGGGGATCTTATGGCTGCCTACAACTTTCTCAGGGGCCACCAGCAGGTACTCGGGGAAAGTCTGTTCACCAGGGCCCTCCTTGGAGTCACCAGGAACAATGGCCACAAGCTGAGGGAGGATAGGTTTAGGTTAGATATTAGGAAGAACTACTTCACGGTAAGGGTGGCCAGAGCCTGGAATAGGCTCCCCAGAGAGGTGGTGCTCTCACCTTCCCTGGAGATCTTCAAGAGGAGACTGGATAGGCACCTGGCTGGGGTCTTATGACCCCTCCCGCCCCCAGTGCTCATTCCTGCCCATGGCAGGGGGTCGGACTAGATGATCTGTCTAGGTCCCTTCCAACTCAGTGATTCTATGATTCTGTGAAATAACTGGGGAATATGAGACAGAAATAAGGACAAGTGAATGGTAGAGAGAAGGTAAAGCCTATCTGCCTTTTCTCATTATGCAAGAAAAAGGGGGCATACAATGAAACCAACAGGCAACAAATGTAAAGTTAATGAAAGAAAACACATCTGTTTTTCATTGCTTTTTATACAATGCTGAATTTGCTCATGGAACTCACTGTCATTAGACATTAATGAGATCTAAAGCTTAGTAAAATATAAAAATAATAAGCTATGTTTATGGATAATGAGTCCACCTGTAGTTATATTAGTCAGTATTTAAAAATCAGTGAAGGATATAACCTTCACATTTCACAACCAGTAATCACTGGAGGTTAGAAAGCAGCTTCCCTTTTGGGCAGTTTCCCCTAACTGTACACTATGTGGTTTTGTGGACCTTCTTCGTAAGTACCTGATACTTACTAGTCAGTGTCAGAGACAGGTGATATCAGACCATTAATTTCTTGCTATATTGTTACTCCTATGTACCTATATGTGTTGCCATAGCCCTATGACTTAGAGTAACAACCCCCTGAGTACTGTCACAAATGCTCCATATAAATTTATTGGATAGTCATAAATTCAGCTTTCCCAAGGAAGCTGCTTGGAAGCTAATATTTCTGGTCATTCAGCATTTCTCTACTCCCTGTGACAACACAATGTCGCTGAAGTAACAGGTTTTTATTTAAAATGAATAACCTGTGTTGGGGAGGAGAGTGACTCCGAGCAGGACTTGGTGACCTGTGATGTCGAGAGGTGGCAAATGAAGCTGTGCGTTGAAAAGCTGAATCTCTTTGAGTGGGAGAATGTGAATAATTTACAAGTTCATCAGTGTCAAGAGATGATGAATCGTGTTCAGATGTGTTCTGTTCATCTGGCTCCCTGATGACCTGTGGAACAAGGAAACATCACTCTTCAGTTAGCATTCAAGCTGCAGCAGGGAGGGGGACCGCAGCAGAGAAGAAGGAAGGAGAAAGTGAAGAGGATGCGATATCAGGCTCAGGTCAAAAGCTCAGAATGGCCAATGTAGAAAAGACCTACAGTCAAACTACAGACCTATGCAAGCAAATGGAGCCTCACTGGAAGTTTGGACCAAAGAAGCTCTTAACAAAAGTAATCCATAATTAATAGCAACAAGCAGATTCCATCATGCTGCTGAATTATTCCATTATTCCACCATTATTCACTGACAAATGTTAGTAAAATTCATTATTTTCCTTCTTTCTATTACTCATAAACAATCTTACTAGTAAAAATGTAGTACCCTGTGGAAGGGAAAAGCAAGATGGTTCTATAGTAGTGTTCTAAATACTGTTTTAGAATAATGCATTTACTTTTGGAACATGCAGTCAATTTAACCTTAAGACTAATAAACTTTTTCCCCTTTTCAGGTGGCCTTAGATTTTGACATATTTGTAGGACAGTACTTCACACAGGAGAACCTTACAATTCTTTGCTTTACCTGTGGATGCCTCTGGACATAATGAAAGAACCTGAAGTCTTTTCTCAACTTTGTGCCTTTCGTTAGCACTAAATGCTATTTAAATATTTTAAAGTCAATTTAGCACTTTTGAAAGGCAGTAGACAGAAGGCACTGGAAATGGCCTTTGAGTGTTGCGAAACTGGAATGCAAGCCCACATTGTCTCATCAGGTGCCTCACCCCAACTCCGTAAAAACTGGTTACATGTGAGAAGTTCAGTCTCTATGTTTATTTATTTTTGATCTTTCTGATACAGTTGAGGCCTGGTGACTGAGCAGTTAAGGTATCCTACTAAGGTCCTAGCTAACACCCCAGGTTGTTAAGGAACTTTCTCCAGACTCATGCTGAAGGCTGCTCCCATTGACCTAGCTGTAAATAAATGGGTATACCTGGTAAATCAGGAAGGGGCATCAAAGATAACTGGAAGTGATGTTAGCTAAATGACTAGCATCTCTTGTTTGTTGTTTGAGGTCAACAGCACACCTCAACCATGCTAACCCAGTGAGCCACCTAGGTTCAGTCCAACCTTTGACCTGCTAAAACTGCTGAGGAGAATAACCCCAATGTCCAGACTAGGATAACTAACTACTTTTAAAAGGGTACTTCCCAAATTGTTAAGTACTAGTGACTTTCTGTTCACCTGAGATTCATATTGATCACTTAGTGTGGGTATGTATACGTAATTTCCACACCAAGAAGCACACCCCAACAATCCACTCCTTGGTACACATCATACCCAGAAATTAGGCACTGAATCCATCTGGAGGGCACCCCACACTGCCATTATTAAGATTTCTGTCTCCAGGCTGTTTAAGAATGGCAATATGGGGGCACCCTCACAGACGTTTCGCTGACTCATTGCTAGGTTTGGAACAGACAGGGTAGAAGCAAATGGGCAAGTTGTGTTAGGGTAGCTTGTCACATTTAGCTTTAGTTGCACCTGCTTGAGTGGTGAATTATAGTATTATCTGAACTTTTCTTTTATATTCAGCCTTATTTAACCATTGCTTAAGTTTTTGTATAGCCTCATTTTTATTTGAACTTTTCTTTTTTCATTTTGCTTGTGTCTACATTATCAGCTAGCCTTGAGTTTGCTTTCACAGGCAGCTTATGTTCCAGCACTAGCAACACAGGCATGTGAAGTGTAGGCCTTGTTACTAGCTCAAATTAACTGAACTTGGCACAAACCGACTAAATCAGAGGGATGACATGATTGGGTATGTTAATGAAAGGTGATAAAAGGGGACCAACTGGACAGTGCCCAATTGCAGAGCCCTTGGAATTTCTGGAGTTGACAGTCAGACCAAATTAGGAGTCTGGGGCATGCGCAAATTAAGACACTAGTAAAAGACCAAATTAGGATGTGTGCATGTGATGGGTTTGTTGGAACAAAGGAATATGCTGACAGGATAAAAACATGAACAGTATGATGATCACAGGGAAACCAATTAACGGTACCCAGAAATTAAGAGTAACCAGAGGAGTAAAGAAAAAGCATAAAATGGGGGCAACAAGGAAGTTGAGTATATAACGTCATCCAACAACATCTGGATTGAAAAACAGCCCTTACCCACAGATGACCATCTTCTACTTTCAGAAACTGATTGGCCACCTTTTCTGTCAAACAGAGTAACATCTGGGAGTGGGTGAGACAATTGGACTAAGTATTTTTCTATCTTTCTATGTAGAAGTTATTAAGATAACATTTAATGTATTAATAAAAGTTAGATTTTAGTTAAGTTGAACTGTGTGAGGCGTATTCCATGTTAAATACTGGATTGATTATACTTTGATGAACCTTTAGTGCCCAGGGTGCGTATCAGTTGTGCTTCATAGCAGTGCCTGCAGAGAGCAACAGAAGCAGTACAGACATACCCTTTATGGATAAAAATGGCCCTATATTCCATCACTAAAACTGTATGTTTATTTTGGCTATGACTTCTACGAGAGGTTTTTTATGGCCCTAACAGATGTAGATATACCTGAGCTACTTTTAATCCAGATTTCTTAGGGACTAGCTACAGTGTAGCTGCATGAGCACAGGCTACAGAGGTAAGTGTGCTCAGGACCATAGGTTTGCACTTGGGCAGCTATTCCACATAGAAGTACTTGGTATCCTGGTTTCAACAGAATAAGAATAAGATTTAAAGCTGACTCACCTAGGTCTACGTGTGCTATTGTAACATCTAACTGTAATGCAGACGTGGGTCTTTGCCACTTCGTTCAGTCTTCTTGTCAGCTGGACTTTACCAATGCATTTACCAATGTTGGCCCAGTAGATGTCCAGGCCACGGATTTCCTCTTAAATTAATTTTAACCATTTGTACTGGAAAATAAGGGATTTTTCCAGGAAATGTGAGCCATTAACTTTTGAGATTTCTTCTATATATTTATGAAGTATTTTCATTTTCCCATAGCCAGAGCATGACTTTTCTCCTAATTTCCCATAACAAAAAATCAGCTTTAGCCATTACTCCCTTCACTTGAATTCTCCTATTGAAATATGTAGATTAAACTATTAAGAGATCTTATTTTACACTTGTTATTTTTTAAATTACCTTAACTGAGGTATTTGATGCTTCACAGTTATCAAAAGATAATGCTAAAAGAAAAAAAAGACATTTCAATGAGTGATTATTAACAGTTCATCTTGTCATAGCTTATTTTACTGTAATCTATGTATTAACAAATTAGGAAAGGAATCACACCAACACGGTTCTTTGCCACTTACAGTTTCTACGGTCCTATATAACAGTCAAAAGAATTGTAACAGCTGACCTAGTTTCTCTATACCTCCCATGGCAGAAGTAATACACAATGAATACTTTGAGGTTATTGCAGATGACAAACAAAGTGCTAAATACTGGGCACATCTACACATGCACTTTAATGCATAGTAAACTATTTTACTGTGCATTAAAGTGTCACATAAAAACGTGATATTATGCTGCTATGCAGTAAAATAGTCTACTGTGCATTCAGTGTCATGAAAAAAGCATGCAAACGCAGCCTCAATTGGCACCATTGCTCTTTACAGAGCACAGTGTATGTGCTGATGAGTTCTTTGATGGCTGCTGAGTCCAATGCACAAGTGACAGTCCCGTCCACAGGTAGGGCACACCCATGCATTAGCAATGTTCTGAATCTGAGCAGCAGATTCTTTCCTCCTCTGATGCCGGTCATCACAAAACTTGACCCAGTCTGCCTCACAGTGCTTTGCTCCATCTGCAAGCTGACTCCACCAACCAGAGCGGCATTCTGCACTCCTTTCCCAATCATTCACAGAGATTCCAAAGGATGCTAAGTCATCTATGCAAGCATTTCAAAATCTATGCAGCGATCTGGCTCTCTTTCTAAACTCTTCCTGAGCTTCAGAGTACAGCACATTCATCGGGATCCTGTGATCCAGTATTCACTTGACATGGCCAAGCCACCTGAGTCTTTACTTACTAATCAATGTGCCCATGAATGACATACCAACACAATTTAACACTTCCACATTTATCACCCTTGTCTTGCCATTTTATTCAAAGAATTTTACGCAGGCATCTGATATGAAAGCTGTTTAGTCTTTTGATATGTTTGTCTGAGTCATATAGAAGAGTGGAGAAAACACGTCTCATAAATATCGATTTTTACTTTAGTTGACAGTTTGTTATTGTTCCAGGCTCTGTCTTGCAAAATACCAAAGTTCCTGGCTGCTTTGCAGATTCTACTAGTGAGCTCAGCATCAAGATCTACATTGCTGGTAACAGTAGAGCCAAGGTAGAAAAATTGGTCAACAACATCAGGATGAGTTCATCTGTAATATCTGAAACTGGTTCTGATGAGCCTTGGTGCATGATAAGAGTTTTCTTCAAGCTTATTGCTAGCCCAAAGATTTTTCATGAGTCACAGAACTCAGTAATGAAATGTTGTAGGGCATCAACACTGTGAGCCACAAGGGATGAATTACCTGCAAACAACAGGTCCCTTATGATGATCTCCTTTACTTTCATCTTAGCTCTGAACCTTGCAGTATTAAAAAGTCCTCCATCATGTCAAGTATTACGATAGACAACCTCTCGAACATCATGGAATTTGTGTTGAAGGAGGAAAGAGAAGTAAATGTTAAACAAATGTGGGAGTCAGTAGACAGCCCTGCTTCACTGCACTGTTGATGCTGAATGAGTCAAACTCTTGCTTTTCATACATTACAGGTGCCTTCATGCCATTGTGGAAGGATTTCACAAGCTTCAGCAAAATAGGTGGGCAAAGGTGTAAAGCCCTGACAGACTGACTGTGTCAGAAGCTTTTGTTAAATCTATAAATGGAATGGAATACACTTCTCTGTGCTTTTCTTTCAGTTTTCCTGAAGTTTTCGCACATTAATTTAGTACCTCACACTGGAAGTACTAAATTTAATGTGCATTAGAAAAGGTGCATTTATGCACATGTAGATGTGCCCACTGTGGCCCAGGTTTACTCCTTAACCAATATCTAGTTGGCATAAAGAAGGGGGCAAGGTACTGGCAAAATGAGAGAGTTAGGATTATGACTCAGACTGTATTCTCTTTGGGCCTCTCTAGACATTCAGGTAAAGACGTGATAGGATCTGATGTGCAATCCACACAATTGCGCTTCCTGTCATGCTACATGTACAAATTAAAGCTGGATACAAATCAGCTATAAAGTTAATGCGCATATTCCAGGTCTAACTTTATAACTGGATGGACCTTTTATAGACTTTTTATGGCACAATAGTTATTTTGCATGTATAGCCGATCTAAAATAATTGCGCAATTACGACTTTGGTTCAGTAAGAACTGGAGCTTGCATGTTGTTGAGCAGTTTGATTCCAATAACACACTTACGTCCTGACTTAACTTCGAATGCTTTGGAGTGTCACCCTTTGGGGCTATTATGCCCTTTCTAACTGTATTTCTGGATGAGTGCCAGAATGTCAGCATCTGGTAGGGCCATGTACCCAACCCTCTCCTGGTTCTTCAGGGCAAACACAAGAGGGAACTATAAACTTAGTTTTATTATCAGTTTCAACAGATTTGTCTGTGACTATATTAAAGGCAAATGTCTGAATAAGAAGGTGGCACTTGAGAACAGAACGGCACTATTATCATTGACTGTTTGGGAAAGTTTTCCCTTTCATTGTATGGCTTCGTTACAGTTCAACATGCTTATCATAATATGAATTCTATATTATATTATTATTATATATGAATATATTAATCATAGGATGAGGATAAGAACAAATGGAGTATGAAAACTGATTCTACCATCACGGTAACACAGGGCCTGTTCCAAACCCCACTGAAGGCAACAAAATTCAGAAGAAGCTGTCAGGGAAGACATTTCTTGATAGCAGTAGCACATAATAATGGATATTATACTGCGCAGTGAACAACAAAGAAACATTTGAAAGACCCACTTTTCTCTGAAGTATTATATTGTACAATAGAAAAGCAACCACTTCCTCTGCTAAACAACTGTGTAGTTTTGATATGTGCTACAAGAGTTGCCACATTCTTCTACCTAGAGATACTCACCATTCAATAGTGAGCAAACAGTTTCTATATATTGGCCCAGATTCTGCCACCATCATTTATGCTGACTAGTGCTTTATTCTGTGCACAGTCCCTCTGAAATGGAAATCGCAGATGCTGGACTGTGGTTTGTAAAAGCTGTAGAACTGCTTGGGATAATTTGTGTTATTATTCCTGTTGTTAGCATTATCTTATTCTTAACAACGAATTTTAAATACCTTGTTTCAACTGAAATTCAAGAGAATCCCTTGATGGTCTCATATTTTGTTTCACATTTCGATGACGTAACTCTGGGGAACTTTTTTCACCAAATGGGTTATTACTGTCTACCTGGAAATGAAAAAAATAATATGAAAATGAATTTCTTATTCTATGAAAACTAGGTCTGAACATGAACATGACATTGGCAATCTCCAAAGAAAAGAAAATAAACCCTTTTTCTTTTATTTTTTTTCTTTATCTCCATCAGTCTGCCTCTCTCTCCCCCACAAAAACAAAATACATAAAAGAGGGAAAGTAATAAACGCTGTATAATACAGACCTTTTAAAAAATAATCTAAAATATTTTTCACTTTGTCTCTTCTATCTAATTAAAAACCAAGGGCATTCTAAACCATGAAAAACTTCTGGATAGAAGTGGCAGCAAAAATTTAATATGAGTTCTAGGAATATAGTCTAGTACTTCACGTTTGGGTCTGGGTTTTTGTGTTCAGTCTTATGCACTAACATTCAAATGTTTCCAGCAATAATAATTCTAAAATCAGACCTCTTCCTTCTACCTACAGCTGCATATGTTAAAAAAATAGTAGTCATGTTTGTAACTGTTCCTCAGAGAAATGTTAATGACAAACTAGAGGACTGCTGAAATGACTCATTACTTTCCGGCTTTATAAATCAATTTATTGCACAAATATAGAAGAAAAGGAAGAAAAAGAAACAACATGACTGTTTGATATCATCAGGTTGAGACAGAGGAGGCTCTCCACCCAGAAGACAAAATCCACATTTATCCAAGCTGTGAGGCAAAAGACAAAGGGAGCCTGGAGTTCTTAGCATGGTGCAGGTGTACAAATGAAGACCCTACCAACTTTCTAAAGGGACTTTTTGATCTCTTGCTTAATGCAGTACTAGAAGCAGACATAAGGGGGACAAATGTTCCACATTCCAAAAACTACTTCCTCCAGGCAAGGATGATGATTGTCTTTCCATTGCCTGTCTGAAAAGTAAAAACCCTTTGTGCTCTGTTCCTGAAAGCCTGAATGGATCAAGTTCTGGGTACACTGAGACCAGTAGAGCAGACTCAAACCCAGAATCTTGATAGCACTGATCAAGGGTCACCTTGTGCACCGTGAAGACTAAAAGTGAAGACTTTATAAGCGTTTTAAGTGAGAAGCTATCCTGGGACATTTGTGTTAATGCCTGCTGCATAGCACTACTAATCCCATTAATTCCAAAGGCAATACAATTGCTTTTAAAAATACTGTTAGAAGTCATCACACAGCAGTAACCAGAGAAGGGGAAGAATTCAGTCAGAGGTAGGGAGGGCCTTGAATTTACTGGTGAAGTTTTAAAAGGGGTCAAAATATTCCCTCCCAGCACTTAAATTCCAGGAAATCCAGATCCTGTCATGAGAGATGCCTGTGCCTGACAAAACAAGAACAAAATGTGAGTTCAAGAGTTTTAAGGGGAATATGAATCTTAGGTCACTAGTTCAGGTAATGGACCGAATGCTACCAAAGGCTATTGTGACACATTACAATTGGCATGTGCTAACTGCACTTACAATGCTAGCATCCAAGCATTCAAGCAATGAAGTGTGTGCTAAGTGCCATTATAGCACAGTAAAGCTAGTTTTTTTCTAGTGGAAGGTATCTCTAGAATCTATTATCTAACATATGTTGAGCTAATATTGGACTACTGCACAGAGATATTACTATCAGGGAACTGCGGTGTCTGGGGGAGAGCCCAACAAAACTATTTGTCAAGCTCCCAGCCTTCATACCACACCAGAGCCTTTAACCAGTAAGACTATGGTGCAGTGGGGGGAGCTCAAAAAGCAGTCTGTCAGGCTCCCAGCCTCCTTACTGCACCGAAACCTTTAACAGGCTCCTGTAGGAACTGGCTCCCAGCCCCTATACCACACCAGAGTCTTGAACTGGCTCAAGTGCAATCCTGCAGCTGAGACTGAAAATTGGCCAGTTCAAGGCTCTAGTATACTACTATGATCTTAGCTAGTATTAAAGTTTTCTACGTTCTAAATAGTAACATGTACCAATGCCTTTAGTGCTTTCAGGCAATTCTTCAGCCTAAGAAGAAATTCTAAAGATGCAGAGAAAGCACTCATGTCTGACAAACCTTTTGAGAAAACACTGAAAAGACTCATCTCACACAGATCAGGCCTTAAAGGTGAGAAGAGACGTGCCTGTCTTCAATCAGTGTCCAAACTACTCACAGCCTACCCTTTGAGCTTTGTAATTAAAACATTGTTTCATGAAGGGAGCAATGAAATCAATAAAATATATCTCTGCTCATGTAATGCTTCTCTGAGAGTCACAATAACTATTTCCCTTGAAGATATTCTTGTAGTTAATCTAACATCATTGCAACTTCATTCTAAAGAAACTTTGAGTTATTATATTAACCACCTAATCAGTAGTCATTATTAAAAGGAACAAGAACTGGAGATTAACTAATAAATTCTCATTGCAGATAAGAATTTTAGAGTCTCATGAATAGATTTGCCCCTTGATTCCCAATTACTGTTTGAGGAACAATGGTTGTTTGATGAGTAGCAATAAGTGATAACCCGAAAAATTAGCATGGTATCTAACTGATTGTTCCTGCAGCCCATGAAGACCAAGACTCCATCCACTTTCCCTCTGATGATTACCTCAAGCAATATTTTCTGATAGTTTTTCCTTGACTATATTGAAGTTTAACCCCAGGTGTGGGCATTATCTGTCTCTAACTATGCATCTGCTTGTTCACCTCCTTCTTTAACATGTCTAGCAACAAGGTGTCATATCATTCGATAGTAAATCTCCAATAGGACTTGTATTGCTGCTGAAAGATATGGTAGATGTGTCACTGAGGACAATGATTCTGACATATAGACCATACTGCCATAAAGGAGTTTTCCTTAAAATGAATTTAAAACAGTTGCAAAAATTTCCAAAGATTCTGCTTTTATCTTCACGCAGTGAGATCAAAAAAATATAACCCTCTTCATGTAATGCAACAAGGTTTAAACATTTACAACAATGTTTTAAAATAAAGAAGGACTAGTAAGTGATGAAAACTATACATAGATAAATCAGTGGATTAAAACTGGGAAGGAAATACTGAGTTCTAATTCAGGCTTTTCTACAGTGTTTATCATCTTATGATTATTGATAAGTAACCTTAATATTTCTTCTTTTCTGTATTATATGTGTGCATGCGTGTGTATTATACACACAGAGCTCTCAGAGGACACTATGGGCGTCTTTACACATGCTCCAGAGGTTGGGGGCTGCTATAATTAAAGCAGCTCTGAGAGCCACTCTAAAGCACGCACAGCATTTTGTGTATTCAGCATCCCATGCTTCAAAATGATGGCAGGGATGATTTAACTAAAGCTCATCAAACAAGCTTTAGTCAAGGTACCCCTGCCACCCTTTTGAAGTGAGGGGATGGTGAATACATAAGATGTGGAGGCTGCTGAACCGTGCCAATTAACATGTTCCAGGAGACTCAATTAATCGAGTCTGCTCTGATGCACTGTAATTAGAGCACATCAGAGCAGTGTCCCCACACATCTACAGATGCCCTATGGTACTAACCATTTAATTACCAAGTTAGTAGTAACTAGTAACTTAACTAATTAGATACATTCTTATGATATCTTATGATGTGCTTTGAGAGCTTCACATGAAAAGTTCTTGGAAATCTCTTGGAAGCCCTTTCATTGGATTCAGTGGCCATTGGATTAGGTTTTACAAGCCATAAAGGGGAAACACAGGGATGGCTAACTGTTGTCACATCATCAGCCCATTAGTCCAGTATCTTGTCTGAGCATAACCAATCACAGAGGCTTCAGAGGAAGGTACAAAACCTATATAATGAAAAATGGTAAAGTAACCTACTCCTGAGGACAATTTCTTCCTAACCCCAGTCAGGCTGTGGATAGCTTATACCCACAAGTGATCACTTCTATTTTTTATCCTATCTTAATGGAATTTGAAATTCTTCTTATTAATATCAATGTCTAATCTCTTTATGAGTCCTGCAGCCTGGCCGGCTACAAGACCTGTTGAGGGCCATGAGTTTTTGTACGAGGAAGCATCCCTGTTTACCCTTCAAAATTTGCCACTGTTTAATTTGTTTGGGTCTTCTCTTATCTTAGTATTATAAGAAAGGGTAATGAGAGTAACTCATATTGCTATCAGCACAATCAAAAAAAATATTTGCTTGGTATGGAAATGTTAAGACTTACATGTCTAACTACAAATGGTGGCCTGACTTCAGCTCCTGCCTGGTATCCAGCAGACCCCAGGCTCAGCCTAGATAGCTGCAGCTGGTTTTCTCTGAAGAGCTTTGTAGTATTTGGAGAAGGGGAGTGAGACCTTAATGATCGTGTCAGTCTTTTACAGATCTTATCCTTTTTCTTAGCTGTCTTACATCGTGTAGATGAAATACTCCTCCGTGTGGGCGACACAGATGCAGATCTTTGTATCCTTGTTCTGTTTCTGCCCTATTAGATAAATTAATTGTTGCAAAATTATCAGAAAAGAAGCAGGTTGCAAACCAGAAGATAGTACACTGAATAAAAGTGCAGGTCAACAGAAGCCCCATGGATGCTACTGAAGATAGAATTTGGATCTATTTAGCTGCAAATTAACACTAGGCACAGGTTCTCTAAAAGTGACCATAAGCCAGTAACAGAAAGAAGTGAGTAGGAATTTATGCATTTCTTTTAATATCAATTTTACCTTTGATCCATAGGCTGTCATTCAGGGCTCACTCCTGCAAGATGCTGAAGGGTGCTCATCTTCCTTAACTGCTTCTGAATTTTAACAGTAGCTAAGAGCATATACATCTCTGAAAAACTGCATTCAGGAGGACTGAGGACTATAGCTGAGATCCTAAGGTATTGGACTGACTGGGAGTTTGCTTGAGAAAAACTGTAATATAGTTTAGGATATAGTCCTAAGGAAGCACAACTCTGTATGTCAAAGGCTGCTTTCCTATCTTAAACAAAAATCCCTCTGACTAGAGTGAATGTTTATTCAGGAAGGACTGCAGAATCTGAATCCCAAAAGATGATGTCTTCATTATGCCTAACCACCCAAGTGAATATGACATGTCATGAGAGATGGTCTCTTGGATAAGAGAGAATGTATTACAGCTCAATTCAAATAAAACTGAGGCTGCACTGCTAGGCTGCAGGAAGCAAGGAAATAGTGTGCAATCAATGGCAGGCAAGGTAAAGCACTCACAGGAAGACTCGGTGAAGACCTATGGGCCACGAAACTTCTCCAAGCCAGAGATCACAATCAGTCCAAGTCTTGCCTCATCTAGAAGACAATGCAAGATCCATTTCTTTGCATTGGCTTTCTCCAGAAAGATCAACAATATACTCCTGGGCAATCACCCTGAGTAAATGAGACAACTTGTGACAGTGGATGAACTGAGGGAGGAATTAAAAGATCTGACTTTATAAGCAGATTAATTTGTGGACCAGGAACCATTTTTATTGCTTCCAGGTTGGCTGATCTTGTACGGCGAGCTTTAAACTAGCATCGCCAGGGGAAGGGGCTGCAGGAAGACGAAGAGACACCAGCCGAGCAAGACAGGTGACAAATGCAAGAAGTGCCCAAGTAAGAAACAGAGGTCCAAACAGTCTCCCAAATCAGGGGGTGGCACACGCAGCTAGGCAGGGCCTTAAATGCCTATATACCAATGCTCATAGTATGGGGAATAAGCAGGAGGAACTCGCCCTCAGAATAGCCAGTTCAGACCCAGACATAATAGGGCTTACAGAAACGTGGTGGGATTCATCCCACGACTGGGCAGTTAGCAGTAGGGGCTATAGGCTTTACAGGCAGGATAGAGAAGGAAGGAAAGGCGGGGGTGTGGCGGTCTATGTCAAGGAGCAATACACATCCTCTGCCAGCAAAATGGGGTCAGAGGGGCAAGCTGAAGTGCTCTGGGTCAAGATACAAGGGGGCTATGGGGAGAGGGACCTAACGGTGGGGGTCTACTACAGACCCCCCAACCAAGGGGAGGAGCCGGACCAGGAATTTTCGGGCCAGCTTGCAGAGGCACTTAAGGCAAGGGATGTAGTTGTCATGGGTGATTTAAATTACCCGGACATCTGCTGGGAGGAACAGTCAGCCAGGTCGGACCGTTCCAGGAGGTTCCTGGCCGAGATACAGAACCTCCACTTAATTCAGGAGGTGCACAGTCCCACCAGAGGAAATGCCCTGTTGGACCTGGTCCTTGCCACAGGCGATGACCTGGTAAGGGGCCTCCAGGT